ATAATATACAGCTACAGATATTTTTCCAAATTCCCTCCTTTTCCGATTAAAGAACCGTAATTCGTCCATTAATATCACATGACATATCCCATGATCTCTCATTTCCCTCACACAAAATAATGCGTAATCGGAACTGAGTACTGCTCACATTATTACCCAGGTATTATGTCCCAGGTAGTAACCTTTATCGCCTCCAAAACGTCGCCAAACTACCAGTTACCATATTCTAAAGATCAGCCAAATAATTTCTTTATTACATATAACACGTAGGGTTGCCGTAAGTAGGGTCGCCAAATTTGGCGATTTATGCGAATTTTGGCCTGGTTGCGTTAATACGTAAGTTTAATAAAGTAACCAAATAAATATTAAGCTTTTTTTTTTGTAAATTTTGATACCCTTTAGATCATAATTGCACTTTATTTCATAAATTACGGTTTCATATTTTTAATTTTATAATTTCTGCATGCCATCTTACCAGATTTAAACTGGTGATCTATAATCCGGAAAAACCGATAATCCAGAATAGCCGAAGTCCCGACGAGTCCGGAATAAAGACTTTTGACTGTATTTGAAATACCAAGAGGTCTGAAATGCGAGAAAAAATATCTGCACCTATTTAAAAAATATAACATTAAAAATTTGACAACTGAACAGATTCAGAATGTATATTATTAAAAATACAAAAATGAAAATAACAGCATGTAAGATACCATATTACACTCATATTATATATTTAAAAGGTTAGAAAGTTAATACACATAAAAAAATTATAATAAGATTAAGATCTTTTTTATTAACTAATATGATTACTAAAATTTCTGAGTAAAAAATTTTTAAAAAATGTAGAAAATGATACAGTACAAAGCCTTTAATATGGAATGGATGGGTTATTCAATTATGGCAAAGCACACGAGGGCTATCTGCCTAAAGGGAGGGATGCCTTCGTGGAGGACTTTCTAAGGGAAACTGGCTCGTATACACGTTACACATGGGGGGAAAACCACGAAAACGCCCATGCAGCCAGCCTGTTCGTGGGATTCGAACCTCGGACCGAACTACCAGTGTTCAGCGTCTTTACCGCTCGGCCGCTGGTGGGCCTTTAATATGGAATGTTCTATAATGCGGACCTTAAAGCTACAAACTTTCTGCGCATTATGCGTTTACGCATGTGCATAATACCTTTACGCATGCGCGTTTAATGTACAATGGACGGTGTAAGATAGGCTAAAATTATCTAATTATCTGGTTGATCTTTGGATTATGGTAACTTGGCGATTTTTTGGCGACCAACTCGTGCTACAACAATCTGCTAGTTTTGTTTTGGACGCCATTTTGTCTTCACGAAGTAAAGACATGTTTCTTTCCTTTTTATTTACTGAACACTTTTCCAACAATCTACTAGCCAAAAACACTTACTAGAAATTTCATCTAACCAAAAACTGCTTAATCATGACAAATATTCACTGCAAAATTGGGAAAAAGTGCACAATCGCAAACTCCTTGCGCGTTTTTCACAATAACACATACACATAAACCATGTACATGTCAACTTATTTTTACTTAAAAAAACATCCCAGAATTGCACAAAAATGGCATTGCGCACACTCTTCACTATATCCATGTACACTGCTTTTTTCTCATAAATTGGAAAAATTTGACGAAAATGCAAGAAAATACTCAACGTATACTACTCAAACATATTCCAAACTAGTACAACCTATAACTCCACAAAATCACATCATTAATTAAATATAATTAAATTAAAAACACTACTAAAATATAATAAGCCATACCCTAAATAATAAAATTAGATTACAACCTAATTATTTTAAACTAAATCATTGCTAATAACAATTTTCAAATAATACCATTTAATTTATTTACTCCTTCATTAGTACAATGCATAAATATATCCTCAAATGATTAAAAATACTAACTAACCTAATCTTCTTCAATCTTCATTACGTCCTGCAGTACTACTGCTAATTTCTAAATCCTAAATCCAGACACAACTCGAAGTCTATTCCCAAGTAATAAGAAATTAATAAAATTCACCTATACTCAAACACTTTCAGCAAACCACGTACCCTTCTTACACTCTTTTGACAAATGTCCATTTTCACCATATTTCTTGCACCGCCATTTAACTTGTAATATCCTTCCGTTCACACAATCTCAACTTATTATTATTATCAGATAACGCATTAAAAATTTAAAATTCACTTTACCTAGCGCCATGCAATCCGAAAATTAACACTATTTCACACAACACACAATGAAGCTTTTCCTAATTAACCCCCTTTTCCGATTAAAGAACTGTAATTCGTCCATTAATGTCAAATGACATATCTCATGATATCTCATTTCCCTCACACAAAATAATGCGTAATCGGAACTGAGTGTTTCTCACATTATTACCAAAGTCCTAGGTAGTAACCTTTATCGCCTCCAAAATGTCACCAAACTACCAGTTACCATATTCCAAAGATCAGACAAAAAATCTCATGATGGGAAAAATGCAGTTGTGCTGCTCAGAGGGTTAAAGATGATATACATTTTCATGTTGGAAGGCCTTGAAAAGAAATGGAGGGCTATTGTCAAAAGCTAATCATATACTAGCACACTCAGTACCCATATATTTTTGCTAGCAAGCCTTGTGTGATAGTGGCAAAAACGAGATGGGAAAGGTAAAGATATTTTATTAGAGATTAAATCATCAGAATTACAAGCAATAATTTAGCATTTACAGCTTATCTATGGGGATAAATCTGGCAGTTATTATTTAATTGGAACTTATTTCACCTTTTTATATTTAAAATACGTTACTCTTCAGGAATAAATAAATATATATTAGATTAATAAAAATGTGTAATGAAAATAAATTTCCCATTCCTGATGTCTTATTTTTCCTTATGCTTTCCTGTCCCTTAACACAATTTTTTGCTATGGAATATATCTTTTCTGTGGTGCTCATTATGTGACCTGGACAGTTTATTGCAAAAGGTCAAAGCACAGGGTGAATCATAACATCTTTCAACATTTTAATGCATCATAATGTACTAAAATACTTGAGTGTACTGGAAAAAGAAGGTTTAACACAATTATCAGTAACAGAAACATGGGCTATAAAAGTTTTCCACAGCCCTTCTTAACATGCCACTTCTCAATATTGTCCACCAAGTCTTCATATGGCAAATTACTACCCTGTAATCCAATTTGATCCATGTTCACTTTGCTGTTGTCTAGTGTACTTTGGTAACTGCACTTATAACGTGTTTTTCTTCCATTAAACACTCAGGCAGGTATAGGTAAAAATGGGCAGGATATCAGAATTTCAAGATTGGTCATACAGGTATAATCCTGCTGTACGAACTGTGTAGTTCTGTCCCAGTTTTCAAAGAGAACACCCTGGGCAGGTCTGAGATTCTTCCACTACTCTTACCCTACCACCAACCTCCTGAGAAGACTTTTGGCATTCCATGTATTTTGAGTGCCCCTTTGCTGAACAGGCATTATATGCTTACAAACATCTATATCTTCTCTGGGAATAGAACAAGGGCTTATTGATACAGCAGTCAGCATCACTAATCAACGCTGTCTGAGTGGCTAAATATTGAGGCAACTGGACAAAGTTCTATCAAAGTTTCAGAGGACTGCCTACCGTATTCTCAGTATGAAGTAATCTAATAAGTTGACTGGCAGCATGGCTGCTGTAATCCGAGCACCCAACCTAGTTTGCTCCAATAAATGACCAAGATTAATGCCACATAAATTCTTCCTCTGAAGCTAAGTCTTTAGCACACATACTCTAAAATTCCTGTCCTGAGGCTCAATGAAATTGAAGCAATACATTGCTACAACGCACCAGCGATATGACTTCTGACCCCAGAAAAAACAAATTTGCTAAACGGAACATTGCTATGACTATCATATTAAAGGTTAAATTGAGCATTAAAACACCTATAAAGCAATGCATTGCTACAACTACTATCCTGCAGTTATACAGCATGGGTGAGATGCATAGAGTACAGGGAATATAATTTAGATGTCACAAAAAAATCAAATACTTTTCTATCAAGAATCTGCAAGACCTCTGAATAATTCAACTATAATTACTTATGTTACAGTAAAAAGTCGCAGTACATTAAAGTGTTCAAGATTATTATGACCCACACAGAATCATGACTGGCTAATAGCTGTAAAGTATTTCCCAAAATTTTACGTAAAAAGACATAACATCCCTTACCAAAAATTTTCATAGAAGCCAATAAAGCTCTATAGAAATTTCTATAGAGTTGAATTAGAATTTTTATATAGCTCTATCAGTCTCTAAAAAGACTTTTCGTAAGCGATGCAGATTAGAAAGTATTAAACTAACTTCTTACTTCATTTGCTGAATGAGACCAAATCGAGCTAGCAAAAGATCACAGTACATTTCGACAATTTCCATTGCTTCGACCAGGTAATCTTCTCGGATTATGTGCTCTACACGAATTTTCGAACGCTCAATTTTTCCATTTGCGATATAATCAGCAATTTCTCGCCTTGCTTTTTGAGCTAACTCAGTTTTTTCTTTTCCATCAATTTTAATCTACTAATTGCTAACCTTAAATTCGTTTTTAATTTCCCATAATTACATCCAGTTGACATCATTTTGAGACAGCTTACGTTCAGTAGAAGTTATGCACCGCTTCTGAAAATATGCATATGAAAAGCAATTACTTTCGTTAATTGCGGACTAAGTAACAAGCATGCAATCCTCTTGTCATTGCAGTTGCACCAAGAAGATTATCAATAGAAGATTGCGCAACACTCCCACAGCACGAGATGTTATTCATAGACACAATCCACAGACGTTTTCTCCCTAGGCCACGGAGTATAAACAAGGAGGTGAAACTGGTATTACAACTTTTCCCAAAAATGGTCCACTTTTGTCGCATTATTTATAGAGAACGCTGCAATCGTTAGCTTTTCTACTTTTCGTAGGATTTGACATAGACAGCAATACAGAAAATACTGATTTGATGTCAATTTCCATCATGAGTAATTCTTGTAATGCAACCTGCTTCGTCCCTGGATGCAACAGTGGTTATACATCTGTTAGGCAGAAGAATAAAAGCTTGGGAATCAAGAATCCAAGTATATTTAGAGCTCCAAAGGTGAGCAACATTTATATCATGCCTGATCACAGTCAGACGAATTTATATAACTTTACAGAACGTCTGGATTGCTAGTAAATAAGAGGGTATTTAAAAAGTAATAGACTGGAAATTAGTTAAATATTTCACAGAACTTTAAATTGGAAATTAGTTAAATATTTCACATAACTTATGTGCATTTGCATTTCGTGCATGAAAGCAGGCAATCCTGAGATTTTAAAGTTAAATAAATTTCTGGAATTATGCAAGAATGATGGAATATTTGCCTCTTTATTTCATTTACAGAAAAGAAGATTAACTCATTTCCCCTTCTTTTCCGTTTGAAGTAGGTTTTTATAATAAATGGAAATGAACACTGTGCTGCTTAAAATTAACTTCACTTGCATGGTTGAGTGAAAACATAACAGCAGATAAGTGTAATGAAAAATTGATTTTCCATGAGATAAATTCAGCATATTAAATAAGTTATAAATATTATAAAATCATGCCACCTAATCACATAATTGAATGGCTGTTAAAAATTAAGATTTAAATCTTGATACACTGCACAGTGAGAACCATTATGCACAAGGATTTTAAATTTGAATGTGTAAAACTATTCAAGCGTTAGTGCTGCAATTAAATTTTAATTTGCCATTACTATTTTCAAATTAAATTTTAATCATTAAATATTAAATTTGCATCAAAGTCACGTTAAAAAAATTGCATACAACAAGAGTATTTTTATTTTGTATGTAACTGAATTCTGATATTTATACATACTTGTTGAAATATATTTTACAGGATCCTGTGCTGCTAGACAAATGGAGACATGCAATTCCTCGGGCCGACCGAATACTTTCAGAGAAGGATGTTGTATGCGAGCATCATTTTGCAGAAAGTGATATAAAACGATTTTACGAGACGAAGTTGTCCGATGGGACAATATTCAAGTTGGAAATGGGCCGCCCTAGACTCCAAGAAGGAGCAATACCCTCAATCTTTCCAAATCTGCCTTCATATTTATCCAAACCGTCACGTAAAAGAAAAGCACCTGCTGCAAGAAATGTGCCTGTGAATAAAAAGAATGCTCCATTGGTTGCAGATAATGTTGCCGCTACTAAAAAGGATTTTACATTTCCACTGTTGACTGAAAGTCTGCAGAAGATTTCCAAACCGCATTGTTTGTGGACTGTAAATTCTGTAGTTGAATTCATTGTATGTGCTCGATGGGCAACTAATTACATGTGTGAAAAAAGGGTTATAATTGATAAAGATATGACTGTAAAGGTTAGTTTTGTTTTGACATTTTTATAATTTCAGTATTGCGCGTCAAACTGCACTTGGTACTATTGTGCTACACATTCATTGCTTTTTTTTTTTTTTTTTCATGTGTAATTTATTCTTCACTTATTTATTGTTATTTTTTCAGATTTCTACGTTATCTTTTCTGAATTTTTGAGCTATGAATAGATGGATTTTTTTTTTTTTTTAATTAAGGAAATTGTCAGAGATGATGATACTTGTCTGTAGTGTCTTAGAAGGATTATTTTTCAATCAAAAACATGTTCTGAGAGACATAACATGAAATTATGTCTCAATGGAAATGGATTAGGCATATTTCATTGTCATTGGTTTCATGCCTTAGGAAAGAAACCAACAAGTGTCTGGTTAAGAAGCACATGGCAGAGGAACCAACTATTATGACTGACGAATGGCAGGCATATTCCATAGGCAGGCATGGGTATTATGTGCATAAGATTGTTAATTATCTCGCAAATTTTGTTAAGTTGCAACTGATGCACTTAGTCTATAAAATCCTGCTGCCTCTGAAATTATGAGTACAAAATTGTGGTCTTGAAAAGTAGAATTAGCTAATCACCTACTGAATACCTGTTTCGACATGAAGTTAAGTGTAACGGCCAAGATCCATTGATTAAATCGCTATTAAAAATTTTCTCCTCGCAGGGTAATATGCATCTGTCAATTTCCTTAACAGCATAATATTTTGGGGTGAGGGTAAATGCCCTTTACTATAAATCTGATCTGTGCAATTTCTTTTTATCTCTTGTAATATAGAATTGTATATTGTACTTTCTTATGCTAGTTTTTACTAATGTGCTTAATATACTTATATGTAACAAGTTAAATTTGACAGTGTAACAAGTTAAATATATGCTTAATCATATTTCATCTGCTAACTTAACTAAGTACACTAAAAACATTGGTGTGCATTGGCATTATATTGTATAACAATTATTATTATATGCTTTCGTTATTTTAAGTGTATTTTATTTACCTTGTATAAATGCTAATTCTTTGATTTTCTTTATTTTTATTTTTTTTGTGAATGAAGCCCATTCCATCTTGTTTCATGTACATTTGGTATATTATATGGGGCATTTATGGATCTAAATTTTGATGCCCATTTAAAACTGTGATCCAATAAAATATTGATCTTGCATTTCTAATTCATTGGTCAGTGTGTGTAATACCTTATAAGCAATGTATAAATTGTATATTATTTTATAGTAATATTTCTTGCTTTCTCATTGTTTTGATTTAATAATGGTATTTTGTTCCCATGTCTAAATAATTGGGTGCTAACTGGTCCAATTTTAATTTTTCAGCCAGTGTATATTGTTTGTCTTGCTGTTTTGTTTGTTTTTATCCAAACATGATGTGTTAATATGTACTAAAGATGCAATAGCTGAATTTAATAATTTTTATGTACCTTTAATTAATGTGGCTAATGTTATGCAAATGCTAATTGTTATACTATATCATTAGATTGCAATGCTTGTTTGAAACACAAATTCACTTTAGATCCAGGTGAATCAGCAATCTTGCTCAGCAAATTTCTGATCCATGTACTTCAGAAATTACCAACATTTTGAAAAATCCTGCCTTGCTTAATTCAGCAAAAGTACATAATTTCTTCATAAATCATTCAATAAGCTTCTTATGTTTGTTTTGAATAAATGAAATAATGCTGAATTAGTTGTTGTCCCACTAGCACTGAAATCCTGTGAAAATGAGAAATTTCTCATATATCCCTTCTTGGAGTTCAGAAAACGTACGAAATCTTATTGGAAGGGTATGACACAAAGAATTTTGTTCTCCCGTATCATTTACGTAACAGATACAAATCTTTCACTCCTAAACAGGCTCCATTTAAAGCTATCAGAATACCTAAATATCCAAATGACTTTTTTCCGTGTATATTGGTTGTCCTGTACGAAATTGTGGACATGATCTCATTATTCTAGATCATTTTTCTAAACATCTTGTTTTATGACCTCTCAAAAATCTCACTGCTGAAACTATTACAGCACATTTATTACAATATATGTACCTGGAAGACCAGAAATGATCTTGATTTAGGCACACAATACCCTTCACTGGTGTTTGAATCGATTACCAAATGCTTGGATATTAAATTATCTCACTGTATTCCTCAGAGACCTGAGTATAATGAACAAAATGAACATGTTAATACCTGCATCAAGAGCTCTTTGCTTATACTTCATGAAAAAGGTATTCCATTTGAAAATGCATTGCTTATCCATATTCAATTTGGTTGTTTGATCTTTTAACACAACTAAAACTAAGTTATGAGCATGCCTATGAGATGTTGGAATAAAGCAAATAGAACTGAATACTTGAAAAATGCCATATTAAGATCATTCAATGTTAATGATATAGTGTATGTGAAATCTAAGGTTACATTCCAGCATAGGTTTTCGAAAACTTTTTCTTCTAAAGTAAATGATGTAAATTATGTTATTTGTGCACTTGACAATGATTTTTTCTCAGCCATTTATAGAATTCACATCAGTTGCCTTCGTTTGGCTCCTAAAAGATTCTCCCACACTTCAGTACACTTAATTCTTTTTTTTTTCACTCATTTCTTGTACTATCATAGAACATTATTACAAGTTATGCAATATGTTAAATTGTTCGAAATTTATTGTTATGTGTCTTTTGTTGATTTCTTGATTGTGTGAGCATAATCATTAGAGTTTAAGGCTTGATCACCCCCTTAAATATCATTTCGAGATTCAACGACATTGTGCCTAATATATAAGTGCATAAGTGTTTGATTTCAAAATTTCCTGGTATGATGTGATTATAATGGTTTGTATTGTTTTTCTTCATCCTGTATGTGATTTATCTAATTAAGTGTAACTGGGGATGTACAAAAATTGCATTTTGCTTTATCATAGAAATACTTCATTTACAATTCTGTACTGTGTACTTGCAATATGGTATATTCGAAAATTTTATGTACCATATTTATATCATGCACTTATATGTATTTTGCATAAAAAGTTGCTTGTATTGAATTATGGAATATTTAAATAAGTGGTTCTATGTTTTAATGTTAAAAATTTTGTTTTTGTGTAGATGGCATGGTTTTGGTGATACCTAAATGAAAAAAATCTTCCCATTTAAAATGTAATCTATGTAATATGTATTTCAGACTGTTAGCTCCATAGCGATTGTCATGATTTTATATGAGGCTGGCACCATGATACCGGAATTTTTATTATGCACATAATTTTTCCTCCTTCCCTCAAAAAGGGGTGAATATCTGATGAGGTCACATTAAATTTATGTCCTTGGAATTATTACAGCCATCTAGAACCAGATAAGGGATTTCATCTGGAGACAATATTTTTGCCGACAGGTTTGTTATAACATGACCAAGCTATGTCATCAGACAACTCATTTCAATTCAGTTTGTCTGCAAAGTGAAAGAATTATTACATTTTGTTTCTTATCTTCTGCATTGTCTGTACTTTTAATTTTATCAAGAATCGAGGAATTCCCTTTTTTATTTCGCTATTCTAAATTATGATATGAGTGCCCTTTCTAAATTCATTCTGGTCCTTAATGTATTGATGCAAAATTTAATTAAAAAGTCCTTCTTAAGTGTTTTTACCTTTTTTCTCATGTGAAGACTTTATTCGTTTAAAGCTTTTTGTTTTGGCTTTCCAAGTTTTTATCCTATTAGCTGAACCCCTCTTTTGATGATGATAAATTTTTAATCTTTGATGATGTGGAGATAAAGGCTTCGTGCTAAGTGCTCCATAAATTAAAATTTCTTGATCCTTGATATTTTCATTGGTTGAAATGTGTAACTGTGCTAGCTTATAAATAGTGGGAATTAGTGAATCTCTTAGTCTATTCATTGTTTTTTCGCTTCCCTCTGGATTTCTGCTGCGTGTACTCTTCTTGTTTCAAAATATGTCGTAGTTGGCTTTTTCGTGGTTGGCATTTCTTCGCCCTCTTTTGCAGTTAGCGGAATAAGCCCTACTATATTATGGTATTAGTACTGGAGATGTTTTATGTACCAAAAAAAAACAAAAAAAAAAAAAAGTGATGACAGCTGCCGTTATTTTCCGAATTTGAGAGACAGCCCTTATACTTTTCTTTCTGGAGTATGTTTGACTTTTTGTCTCCACTTACCGTATGAGAAATGTTGAATGTTGTTAACGAAGGCTGTGAAACTACACTCAGTGCACAGAAATACAAATTTTTTTGGGTAAGCCACTGTACTACTGAAGTAGTCTCTTAACGCTACACGCATTTCCTATAGCTCACCCTTGTGTGTAACAATATAAAACAATATTATTAAGACTGTTTCTGGATTATTTATTTAATTACTGTTAGATTTTTATCAAATTTTTTGTAGTAACCCCCCTTTAAAAAAAAAGATTCACTATAACACTTTAAAGAGTTCGCGCACGTAGAATTCGTTGTTTTCGATTGGGTTCAAATGACGGATCCGACAAATCAATGCGCATGCGTGGTTAATGTTGGTACAAATAGCTCAAGCGCCTAATCGCACCGGTGGTGGGAATAGCATCGGCCTTTCTATATACCTTTCAGTTTGATTTCACCTGCATTTTTCGTCCATCGGAGCAGAAAGACTTAGCGGGTGCAAAACAAGACATCTGTCTATTTTGTCTGTCGGGCTGGTGAAATGTTGTGCACTAAAAAAAAATGGTTGAAAATGTTACTTTTGAAGCTTGTTTTCATACGATTCAAATGGTAATTCCAAATGGAATCTGTGGATCTTGAGAAAAGGCATTATAAATGTGGTGATATTGAAATGAAAATAGTAGAATTGGATGTTAAGTGAGAATGTTTTTGTGGTGTTAGAAATGTAGTCAATAGAAGTGGACGTTTTATGAAGGAATTTTTGGATTTCTATTCAAACAGTGTTTTGTATTTGTAAAACCACAGTTAAGCTAAATCATCTGAACAGTTTTAAATGGATTATCGTTTGGAAACGTTATAAAATGTAAAGTGACAGAAAGGACAACTTTTGAGAGAAAATATTTCGACGAAAAGTAATTATCCGGCAAAAAATAATTCTGTTATATTTCATATTTATTGAGCTGTGAAATGCTTCAGAAGGTGAACACTTGCTCCAGCGTAAAATTAAGATTTAATGAAACTGAATGAGAGCTTCCCCGTGATTTGAACAGTCGTTTCTTT